TATTGTAGGTGTGTGATATATTTCAATCTCCATTTGGTATTGCCAAAATTAATAAAAGAGCTCTATTTAATTGGCTTAAAGTAAGAACTTACATGAATTAAGCATCCCTAAATCTCTCAGAAATAGAAGATAAATTAATGCAAATGCTTTTCAAGTTCATGTGATCTGGGAAAATTATTCAGTAACCAAAGCTAGTCTTAAGTTTGTTGGTTTCATTAAAATAGACATGTCTTCAGAATTATCAGCATTAAATACGATACAGGCATACAAATTTTGTTCTACCTGGGTTTACCGGTAAAAAAAAAAAAAAAAATTCATGTTATCTCTGTTACAAAATTTGCCAGCTAAAAAAAAAATAGCTTGGGATGATGGTTAACTCTGTCTAGTGTCTCATGAAGTTTTTGTGGGTGGCCTAGTAATTGTTGGAAACAAATTATTTAAATAGATGTAAGTGGGATAAGAATTTTTAGGTGAACTTTCAGCAATGATTATGTTTTACGGTATGTGTACTTAAAAATAGCTTCTAAAATCTTTTGGTAACTTCCATCATTGGAGTTTTACCAAGTTAAATGATGGAAATTTATCAACTATGTAGGTCATTCCCAAAGAAGATAAAATACTGAAACATTAATTACTGAGCATAGGTTTATCTACTTTTGGCTTCTTATTACAGAGATGCTAAAAGAGATTTGGATGTGCTATGCTACATTGGAAAATTATACTATGAAAAAAAGCATATGGTTTTAGAAATTAGGAATATTTTCACTAATTTGCCATTTTAAAGAATCCTGTTGTAATAGTTTACAATTGCTTACTTCTTAGTTGTCACTAGAAATTAATGTTTCTAAGAGTTAGTTATAATAAATGAAATTAAAAACAATAGAAATAATAAGGGAAACAACTGTGTTATTGGTTAAGAAGAGGCATGAGATATAGAGATGCATTTTTGTTAAGGGAAAATAAAATACATTTTTCTTAAAAGTAAAACTGGTTATTTCAGAATGGAAAACAGTAGGATAAAAGACAAAATGATATAGAAAGTTGGGAAGAGAGAAAGAGGAAGAATTTTACCTCTGTAATCAAGCTGGCTAAAACTGAATTGTTATTGTAAGGGTTTCAAAAAGCTTTAATATCAATAGTGTAATTACATAAATCAAAATTAATTCTCTTTCCATCTGCTAAAAGGACAAAGTTTTCCTGGACTATAGGTCTTTTCTTTACCTTTTAAGTAATCTGCTTAGAAATCAAAGATTTTGTGTCTTACCAAAATAATTTCCTGTGCTTCATGTTGTCTCAATCAGGTGTTTGATTACGTAAGGAAATTATTTTCTCAGTATTAAAAGAGCTAAGTTTTGCTTTACAACTATGTGACCTTTTGTATTTCCTTTTTAAATATTTTGTCACTTTGGTTAAATAGGTAATTAAGTATTGTTTCATAATAATTTGTGGTCCTAGTTATTCAAGTGTCCAAACCCTTTGGTATTTTTGACAACCTTCCCCAAATCAAATTCTAAATGAAATCTTTTTCACCTGGAGGTGACTTGGGATTTTCCACAGGGTTCCTGGAACATCTAAAAAAAATACGTTCTCTCTCCTTATAAAAAGAGAGATTAAACTAATTAGGCTTATTTGATATGTTAAATAACATGGGATGCATTGCCAAATAAAATTAATACCCAAACTTCCTTACCTTATATTTATACAAGTATATTTTAATATAAGTAGTCCAGATGTTGTATTAAATTTCTAGAATTCTGATATGTCCTAGTATAATATTATCCACCATAATTGTAATTAATAATTCAGCACACTCAAGAAAAAGTTTTCTCTCTCCCTTAACTGCCTAAAAGAACTCAGATAGGGGGCTTGGCTCAGAAGAACTATTACCAGTCATAACTTTTTATCTGAAACTCTTACCTGCATGGCACGGCAAACCTCTGATTACTTCTCACATCCCTTAGCTCAGGATGGCATATAAGCCTCAACTGCTTGAGTGCTTAAAGTCACATATTTTGATGGGGTTCCCATATGTATGAAATTAAATTTGTTTTTCTCCTTTAATCAGTCTTATGTTAATTTAACTATTAGACCATCCAAAGAACCTAGATAGGAGAAGGAAACATTTTCTGCCCTGACATAGCACTTAAGATTTAGTAGCTCTGAAGACTGTCAAATTTGTTGTTAATGACAGTGAACCAAGGAATTTTTCTACATATATACTTTTAAGGTCATCTACCTTGAGAACAAACTGCTTTGAATTTTAAAAAATTCATATAATTTCAACATACAAAAGTAGAAAAGTATGATACCCCATGTACATTCAACAACATTTATTCCCATTTTTCAATTCTTGACAGACAGCACACCCAATAGGTAGGAGCCATCTTGCAAGGACCTGGGAAAACTGGTTTTATGGGCAGGTTGAGAAATGTGTGCTAGTCTAGGCAGCTGAGGCACTTAATGGAAGGCAGGGGTGGGGAAGGAGGGCTGTTCTCCCTGCTCCCCCATCCCACCCCCCATGACCACTCTGTGAGGTCAGGCACAAAATGAGAAGGCTCACTCTGGGGAGGTGTCTCTAGAAGCATGATGGACTTGTCTCCAAACACTGCCAGTCTTGGCTGCAGTGACACCAGTGTCCATCAGGAGTAAGGGATGTGGTGGTTCAGCTCATGCTTACGGGACCAAGAACTGTCTGGCGCCACATTATAATGGGCATTAACAGGTTGTATAAATCCAAAGGGGCCAGATCAGGAGAGTAGGGAGACTCTAGGGCGAGCAGTGCAGGCCCTCCCTACTCAAGTGGCGCTGTGGGCCTGGGAGCTGGTTAGGTACGCGGAGCCTCAGGCTCTGCCCCAGACCTGACCCAACCAGAGTCTTGAAGAGCACATTTCACTTGGGAGAAGCACTGCTCTAAAGCATTCAATGTGAACTGTTGGAGGGCAGATTTGGGGTGCTGGAATTCCAGCAATTCTGGGTTGGCAACTAGCTAGTCCAGCCCTTACTGGAGGATGAAAAAATTCCTTCAACAAGACCCCGGAGAAGGCGTCCCCAGATATCCCAGCATCACCTCTGCTCACAGGCAACTCACTAGCTGGCAACAGTTCTTTCCATCTTTGATTAGTTACTGTTGGAAGAGCGGGCTATGGGGTCATGTTACATCTGGTAAGGCAAGGGGAAGCTTCGTAAAGAAGACCCTGCTGCAAGTACACCCTTTCTGTTGTCCCTATTGGAAATTCCATGCCCTCAGGCTAAAGTTTGAGGAAAACTGTTAATTATAAACCCATTTTCATCCCCATGTTCAATGAACTGACTAGCATTTGAGGAAGAGAAAGTGCTTGAAGACTTTTTCTTATTTTAATACTTTTTTAGAAGTCCAGTGATAGTACATGCTTGTCAGATTTTTTTTGGAAAAATGCTGGCACCTATAAAAATAAAATGTGAAAGCCTGCCTCCCTTCTCCCTAATCTTGTCACCCGCTGAGGTACAGGGCCACTTTTGGGAGTTCTGTGCATCCCTGCAAAGCTATTTCTTCACATCTTCACATGCACACAGGATTTCTGAAATCTTTCCACCTTGATCTAACTCTTCTGTTTCTCAGCCTTTTCCCCTTTTTCTTAAGAGATAATACCTTGAGTAATGACCCCTCTATTGGCTAAAATCATTAGCTGATTTTCAAAATGTGGGCGAGCCCTCTAGGTTAATTGGCTTTAAGGGAGGGATGTAGAGAAGGCAGCATTTGAAAGAGCTAGACCTGTCCTAAAATCTGTGTGTCACCCATTAATCTTCACAGCCACCCAATGAGATACTGTTACTATACAGAGGAGGAAACTGAGGTGCAGGGGTTCAGACCCTTGCTTGAGGGCACCCAGCTAGGGATCAGCTAAGCTGGGGTTGGAATCCAAGCAGCATGGTTCCGTGTCTGTGCTCAGGACACCCGGCTATATTCATGGAGGTTGCTCAATTGAAGCCGTACCCAACCGTTGTGTCCTCGCCGGAGTGGGTTTTCCACCTCTGGGCTCCAGGTCTTGGGCGGGGCACCTTCCACACCAGCTCTGGCTGCCTCGCCCACCCTTCCTGCCGTGCGGAAGTTCTGCTCCCCTGCTGTAGAATGGGCTAAAAGGACCTACCTCCTTGGGTTCTTGGCAGGATTAAATGCTGGAATGTGCATAGTGCCCTTAAATATTAGCCACTGATGTTAAAATGCTTCAAGGGTGGGGAGAGTGCAGGGGGAGGAGGCACGAGTGGATGTAGACATCCAGGAGGTGAGGGTATGTATGTGAGATTCCAGCCCAGAGTTGGGTAAGGTAGAAAGAGTCATGGGGTAGAATGCTTTGGCCCAGATTTTTCTTGGACCCCGGAATTCTCACGGTCCCTAGACCCCTTTATGAAAAGCTGAGTGATGATGAGGAACGTCAGTGGGCTCTTGTTCTGGTTCATTCCAGCAGGCAGCAGCATCCGGTTAGTGACGGCAGCGCCCCTGGGCAGGAGACTGCGGCACGCCAGCGCCCCTAACCGCGGTGCCCCGCCTCCCTGAACGCGGCCTGTGGACCAAGGCCAGCGCTGAAGGGCCCTGGCGGCAAGACCTCAGAGCGCATGCCCGGGTGGCCCCACCTGCCCCCCAGCAGCCTCCTGCCGGTAGCAGCCACATCCAGTCATCTGGGCCACAGCTGCCACTCCCCCAGGGCTCTGCATGCAGTCGTTGCTCAATAAATGCGGCTGGTTTTATTAATATTCTCTGTAGCCCTTCATACAGATGCAAACATCTGGGGCAGAGACTTAACTTGAATGGTGACACCTGCACGCCTTCAGCTCTGTAGGCCCCAGATCTCAGGACTCGATTCCCAGTCAAACCCGCACTGGCCATTTGAGACTTTAGATGAATCTTAGGTAGGGGGACCATGATATTTGTTCATACTAGTGCACCTCACAGCACAATATATTTTTTTCTAAGTTTTTCTGGAAATAATTCCAAGCTTACAAAAAGGTTTCAAGAATACAAATAGAGCACTCATATCTTTTACTCAGATTCACCTATTTTAACATTTTCCGTTTACTTTCAATGTTTTTCTCTCAGGATGCATAAACATACATATGTATATGCACACTTTTATTTCTGAAACATTTGAACGTTGGTTGCATACACCATAGCAGTTTCTGTTTATTTCCGAAGAGTAAGGAAACTGTCTTATGTGACCACAATTTTTTTTTTACAAACTTCAGTAAATATAAGTTTGATGTAATAGTTGTATTGGCTCTACTGTTTACATTCTAATTGTATCAGCTGACCCAAAGACATCCTTTATAACATTTTTCCCCTCCATTGCAGGATTCAATGTAGGTTCAGAGATTGCTTTTAGTTGTCCAGACTAGGACTTTGGGGAGTGAAAGAGGGCACTGCTAATAATTATTCTGCAAAGGGACAAATAAAGCCACTGTGACAAAATATTGATAATCTGGAGGGGGGTAAATGGGAATCCATTTTACCTACTTTTATGTATGTTTAACATTTTTGAAACAGCGAAAAAGCAAACCAAATAAACTGAAAAAGAATACACCAATCCCATAGACATAAAATGGTGCCCTCTGCGTAAACACATCTGACCTCCTGTTTTTGGGTTCAGGCTCAGAGCATCTTTACTGAGGTGAAGGGAACCACCTTCTGAAGAGAGTATTTCTTGCTTCCAGGTACTTGAGCCTGGTCTCCTCTGAAGTGAAATGAACTAGGGTGGTCTTGAGAGGAGCCCTAACCAGCCTCCCCGCCACACCCTGGTTTTCTTTTGTCACGGGAGGGCCTGGAGGTGTAGGGTGGAGCACTCCTTTCTGTAAACTCCAGAGAAGGGTGGGGGGGCCTCACCGACCCCAGAGGGGCCTGTGGCGCAGAGAAGCAAAGCGGTCCAGGTGTTGCCCAGGGCATCTGCTGCCCTCAGAGGTACCCTGCGAGCCCTCCATCCCCACTCTTGTGTGCTGTGTCTGGGCTGGCACCCTTCCTCCACTGCATCTGCTGGGGCTGGCCTACACGGCACCCCGGCGGCTTTGGTTAGATGCTTTTGTTTCTTCCATTCCTCTGGCGTTTAAGCGGAGATACGGGCCATGCCCCAGACTCTTGCCAGAGGATTCTGTGTGTTGCTCCCAGTCATCATCTGCTCCCTTGCCAGGGTCCCTGGACTATGGCTGTGATATGACCCTGGGGGCACGTTAGCCCCAGGGCACAGAACTGGGTCTTAAAGCCACAGGCAGGAGAATCCAGAGTTTCTTATCAGGCCAAATTATTTTAAAAAACAAATTGCTCTTCGAATTGATACACCAGCACATGGGCCAACAGCCAAAAGTTGAAAAGAGAATGTGGTGAGAAGTTTCCTTCTCAGTTCTTTGGCCTCAGTCTTGACCAGCTTCTCTCTTTCCAGAGCAGTTCACCACACTAACAGCTAAAAGGAAAGTGTGTTGGACTTTTATTACTTAAATATTAAGATGTTAGTCACCTGATGTGCACCTGGCTTTTTTATTTAACAATATTGTCTTGGAAATTGCTCCTTATCTACATATCAATAGCTTCCTCCCTAGTTCTTCCTTTATTTATATCTCTGGTCCTTCCCAAGCATTGTGTTGAAAAAGAATGTTCTTTCATAGAAAGGATCCCCCAGAGTTAGCCAGAAATTTCAGGATAGTTCAAGGATTCGTTTATTCACCTCCTAAATTCCAAGGATACTGGATTAAATAGCTCTGTATTCCTTTGCAGGTGGATTTACATTTCAAAAGGGGTCTCATAGGACCATAGTACCTTAATCCAAAGAATGACTGCAGGGTTGAATTTTGGGCAGGGGTGTCAGAGATAGGTGATCTTTGGGTAGAAGGTTTTGTCTGTGGTGTCCACAAATCTAGGTGTTAGGGTACCAGGATCTGTCCAAAGATGAACTTTGCCTTCCCAAACTGACCTTTGGTTCTTTATATAGATGCTACCCTCCTAATACTGAACCCTCCTGCAACTGAACAGCAGTCCCCCGGCTTTTCTCACCGGATGTGCCAGCAGATAACCAGCAATTGGCCAGGGACACCTCAGGAAGATGCTAAGAAGTCAGAAGTATTCTGACTCCTCCCCACAGTTTCCTGGGTGGGGGTGGTCTGAGTAGGTGGGCTTCCCTCTCCCCCCACTGAGAGCATTTCCAAGTTGCTCAGTGTGTAAGGAAGGGTCTGCTCTGAAATAAGCTCTGAGCTGAAGAGTATGTGCTTTCTCCTAACAATCTGTGTGTCCAGCCAGGGGCTTCTTCTCATGGGCATCAGACCCTTTCATTGCTTTGGGCCGCTGAGGTACATACACCAAGAGGTCCTAGGCCTACCTAACAACCTTCTCACTGTAGCGTAGTTTCCTGCCAGACTCACCCACTGGCAAAGAGAGACTGACCAGACCTGCCATGTGAGCCTCATGTCAGCCAGACAGGCTTCTCTGCAAAATGGGAAGATAGCATTCTGGTTTTTCCATCAGTGCTTGGTGAGTTTGATTAGTGTGAGTCAGTTTGACCTCTGGCCCTCTGGGCTGCACTACAGATGCATTGGTGAATTCCCAAGTGTAAGTGCCCACTTGCCCAAAGCCAGATGACCCTCTGCTTGGGGCAGTGGACCTTCCTGGTGGGCCTTTTTTTAGCTGGAAGCATGATGATGAAGCTGAGGGAGCAGTTTTCCTGTATCTGTTAGCTTTGTGTGAAAGTAACCGAGTTGCAGCGATTATAATGTCCTCGGATTCACAGTGACCACTTGGAAGAAAAGTTAGCACAAATCCATCCTGCTTATCAGCAACTGGTCAAGGGCCAGTCAGTCCCCTTCTATCTGAAGAATAGCACCACCAGCGTTTCTCTCTCCAGATTAAAATTGGCATTGTGTAGAAGGCAAACTGTTTTCCTACCCTCGTAGGTTCAGTCCTTGGGAGCCAGAAAATTAAACTGGCAACATACTGATGAGCAAGGGAAACACCAGATTTTTTATTCACATACGTGCATGGGAGCTCACAGAGAAATGTAACTCAAGGAGGTAGTTAGAATTAGGGGCTTATATACCATCTTAATAGAGAAAAGGGAGGAGAAGGGCACTTCTGGGAAAAACAAATGACTTTTAGGAAAGATAAATGGGCCTTTAGGAGAATAGGTGAGAGACACTTATCTAGGGCAGGGACATGCTAAAACCGCCATGGTTAATTTTTCCTGCCTATGATGAAAAATGCCAAGATATAAATAATATAATAAGAACAGGAGGAACTCCATCTTAAGGCTAAGATTCCATTTTATAAACCAGGTAGTTAGGAGGTAAGATTCCTAACATATTTCATGGTAATTAACCAACAGTTGACCCTATCTTAAGTAGGGCAAGCTGTCCTAAATGGTATGTTTCCACTGCTTGAGGGTAACTGCTATCTTGGAGAAGAGCAGGATCAAGAAATTCCTTGTGTTAGGTTTATCTCACAGAGTATCTAGAGGACAGAGGGCAGATGATGGATAGTGACATGATGTCTCTCACTGGAGGCAGATGTCATGAGACCACATGTCAAGCCTATGTGCCTCTCTTGGCCTTTGCCCCATTCTTAAAGTCCTTAAAAGACAGAATCTTAAGTGCACCCACTCTCTGAGGCTGCCTGCACTCCGTTTCTTCGAGTGTGTACTTTTTGCCTTAATTTACTGCATTTTGTCTCTACACTCTTCCAGGGGTGTCTTTGTTACTTTGCTATTTCATTCAGTTTTCTAGACTTCAGCACAAGTCTCTCTCTCTGTCCTATTTCAGACAAGCAGGGAAGGGCAACTGAGACCTCTGATTTGGGCCTGCATGTTCCTCTTGCCTGGTGACTCAGACAGGCCTGCAGCTGTACCGCCATGCTCTTTAGTAGCCTGCCCCAAAGCTCTTTTCTTTGCCTTTGGGAAGTTCTCAACATAATCTCACTCTATCCAGTGTTCTGTGGCTCCCCCAAGTTCTGGGGTGGAAGGGCCTTAGTTCCCACGCCATCAGATCCAAGCGGACACTGGATGCCAGGTAATCCTGGCTGTAGGAGTTGGCAAGGGATTTGCCCTATGCCAAGCAGGAGTTTAATGAGCTTCCCATTTCTCTGTTCTTCCTTACTTTCTGTTGCCTGTGTGGTTGCTGCCATCCATTACTATTCTTGCTTTAATGAATTCCTTCCTTAGCTACACTCATCTGACCTATTTGAGAACTCTTTCTCGATCAGAGTCAAGAACCCTCCCCGGTCCAGGTTGAGGTTTCACGTAGTGCACAGGGGAGACCTCCCCAGACAAAACTGCCCAATAACAATATGATAGGAATCAATCTTACCTGGTGGCAAAACTTGGGGTGGAGGGTGCGATTTATGACCACTGGATTGTTTTGGGAGGCTCTGCTTTTACATAAAGGGAATTCAGGAGAAAAAAAAAATCTTCACAGTGGGATATTATGGATCCCTTCTGCCTGAATTCACCCCTTCTCCCACTCCAAAGGCCAGGCTAGTTGGGGTGGGCTGGCAGGGGCTAGGAATTTGGCTCCGCCTTCCTGGGACTGGCACAGAGAGCTCAGCAAGTAAGGGCAGAATAAGAGGGTGGTCTCCCCAGTAGAGAATGCACTGGGCCAGGGGGAAGGGCACATTTTCATGGCCAAGTTGGTATAGTGGTCAAGGGCATGTGCCAAAGCACAGACTGCCAGTGTCAAACTGTATGTCCTTCAGCAAGATTCTCAACAACTCTTAAGATTCATTCTTCTACTTGGGTAAACCTCTGTAGGATTGTCATGAAGATAAGATTAGATAGTATTTTAAAGCACTTACCTCAGTGTCTGGTGAAAGGGTATCTCGCCGCGACCCTCCTTTCCCCAGAACGACTCAGGAGACACGGGCCCACGCAAGATATTTTATTATCTGAAAGAGAAAATGGCTGCCCCCAGAGAGAGGGAGCAGCAGCTCGTGGGTGAGGCAGTGTGTTTTTAGGGAGTAGGGGTAGGGTGTGTTCTGCGTTGGTGATTGGATCTTGAGGGGTGGGTGACCATCTGGTCTTGGTGATTGGATCTTGAGGGGTGGGGGTCTTAGTGTGCCAGAATTTGCCTTCATCTGGCGCATAGCGGGTGTTGAGTTGGCACAGCTGACTTCTCTAGGCCCTGGGAGTACAGCGGTGAGCAGAAAGCGAGGCCGTGCTCACCCAGACCCTCTGTTCTGGAGAGGGACCTGTTAGACAAAGGCATGCCCGGCATGCACACAGCCAGATGACAGTCGCACTAGGAGGACGGGAAGCAGGTGAAGGGCAGAGGGAGAGGCGGGGGCTGATTTGGATGGTCAGGGAAGGGAGGGCCATCTGAGCAGAGACCGGAATGAAGGGGACTATGGTTTTTTTACATTGATGGCCCTCCAGCACATTCCCGTGCATTTTGCACTGTCTTTAATCAGTCTTCTTCTTGTCTGAATTGCCCTAAATAGTGAAGGGGGTTGAGTTCCCATCTCAGGTGCTCAGCTCACGTGAACCACATGCCATGGGTGGAGTTAGGGGGGCGTGTGGACATGGAGACCCCAGGTTCTGAATGAGGGTGGTGGGTTTCTGGCTTTGATCTTTTCCCCGTTCCTCTCTGCATCACAGTTGCACAGCGCCACAAACAATTATCAGGTCTCCGTTTGCCTCCTCCTTGAAGAGAAGAGATTACTACACATTCTACCCCTCATTCCGTCCAGAGGAGCAGTTGTGTTTGGGAAAACTGGCCTGGAGGCTACAGGGTGAGGCCAGGCCCAAAGAACCGGAATACTGGAACAGAAGGTCCGAATTAAAACTGTGTCTGGAGGCATCAAGAAGCCTGGGGCCTGTGGGCCTTGGGGTCTCTTCCCTCCCTCCTCCCTGCTCCTTCCCAACCTCCCTCCCCCTCCTCCCT